GAACTCACTGAAAAAATAGAATTATTTTTGTTATGTAAGAATTTCCAAAGTAGTTCAGTTCGTATACCATATTGCATTTTACTTTTAGTTCAAAGAATAAGCGCCCCTTTTCAAAGATTCTTCGAGGGAATCATTTGATACATAACAATTTATACCATGTGCTTTGAAAATTCTGTGCTGTCATTATACTTTAAATGACTCATGTATACGCATCGCATTAATTCGATATAATATAACGAGAAACAGCTGCCACTGGGAATGAAAAGATAGCATTGGTCATTGAAACTTTCAACGAAAAGATATCTGATATACAATTCCCTGATTTGAATGAATGAGCTATAATCATGAAGAATGCTGGCACAAAATAGATGTTGGTACATTAGCCTGAACGTTGTTCATCTGAGATGTACCACCGAAGTAATGAGAATATTTGAGCAACAAAACAAAGATAGTGTGTTCAAGCTACGCAGTGATACGTGTCCTCCAAAGATCACTAATGAGAGCAAATGATAGCGCCTATTTCAAATTACACTCACATCAGTGCATCACATTGGGAAATGTAACTGAGTAGTGCAACTGGATGTTAATAAGTCAGCTGATACATACGAGCAAAGAAGGCTATGCATGGAACTGTGCGATAATAAAAATGGAATTATGATAGATAGGATTTAAGTCGTTCACTTAAGCATAATTCACGATCACCCATCGTTTTTCGGTCACCAACGAAATGACTTTTATTGAAAAACCTCGAACTTATTGTCTGTTGTCCTCCAACCGTTGATTGAAAATCGAGTCGTCGTTTTCAATGTCTCAAATATCGACTACCTCTGTTCTGCGTGAGGTGAACATGAATACTCAAATCGTATAAGCTTTGTCAATATATTTCACAGTTCAATTTCTAGTATTATTCATTCATCAGAATCCCCAAGAAGGAACCGCTTCTGGTTGTGTACTTTACTCAGTTCTAATGCCTATTCTATTTTTCAGCATTCTTTTTCGTAGATCAGCTGAATGTAACTGATTAGATAACACTTACAGCTAGACTGCTGCGAATTAACAAAAACTAAGGCAATTAGACCATTTCGGGGTGTTCGATTAAATGATTCGTTTTAAAGTAACTTTTAATCAATTTATGATAAAATGCGAGACTTTTCGTGATGCAGTGAACAATAGAAGACGAATGAGATTAACTTACGCAATAATTTACTTATAATCGATTTGATAGAATGAGGTAGAATTTTATGCATAAATATGGATGTTGATGAATTTATTCGGCATGTAAATGTGCTGCACGAGCATTCATCACTTAACGAATGCAAGAATTAAACAATCATGGAATTCAAGAAAGATAAAACTTCACATTCTTTCTTTTCGATTAACTTGACTGAAGAGGACAGAAAGCATAAGTCTTTGGTAATCGAGCAAAAACGAACGAAACTGAACATAGAAATCTGTCAATCAATATAAATCGAATAGAAGCAAATGACGTTTCGAATGATTGCTGTGCGATCGAAAAGTGCTAATATGTTCTTCATGCAGATATGATTGTGTTACACATAGATATAAATCGATCCATATGCAAAACGATAAACTGTTGATTCACTGGGAAATGAAGAAGGCAATTTTCCATCCAAAATACTTCGAACACTTATTAGCACGGACCTGTTTTCTAGATTATGATCCCATTTCGAAATGTATTCAGAACAGATTCGCATTCTCTACTCAAACTTCACAATTCAATATCGGTAATCAGTTCTACTAAAATGAACGATATGCATCCGCGTTGCTCGCCATTCAATGGCATTCTATTTCCAATCACAACCAAAAAAAACTGCAATCAGCGAACAACACTTCATTCACAGCTGTTGATTATTAAACAGTTGTATGAAAACATCATGCAATGTATTGTGCATCTTCACGGAAAACGTCATATTATCGTTCATTTTCATTCCATCGATCTGCATTTAATCGTTGGATTCTAGGCTGAGCCAGTTCTCTTCATGATGAATCGTTGCGAATTCAGCAGAATTGTTCAAATATCTATATCTCACGTGAGCTTCATTATACTTCTGAAAGAGTGCCTGCCTAATTTCTCATCAGACATTTCCTTTCGCGTTCCTTCTTGCAGAAGTTCGCGTTTTTGTCAATTACCTTTTTCTCATTGTTTACTCACCATGTCTTTTAGTCACAAATTTTGCAGAAATATGCGGTTGCAAAGAGTGAGAAATCATAATGGTTCCCAGACGAATGTTCGCGGAATATTCAGCAGTAGTCTGCTGGTCTGTTTGAGCTCTGCTATTTTTTCTTGAAATAAGCGCGTGTAAAATCGAGATCAAACGAACTTTCAACATTTCAAGAAAGCAACAATTCGTTAACAAAATAATTTCAACATTCTCTCATGTTATTTTGCGAAAGCATCAATCTGTTTTCTTGAATTAATCCCTTTACTTCACTCAAATGAATGAGATTTAATCAACTGTATTCAGTGCAATTTTATTGAAGTGAGCAAATGATGGGGAAACAGACATCATATGTATGCTTAATACATGGAGTCATAGCGATTAACGGCTCGCATCAAATGATCGTCAACAATTTTAAAAAATGAATCTAACCAATTTGTTTCAAAGTTTATAAAACAAAATAGATGGGAACCGAATGTGATGCAAATGTTGACGCTGTAACTGATGGTAGATAGCGATAAGCATTCAACGAGTGAACAGTAAATTGCTCCTTTTATATGTTTTTGGCGATTTCTTATCACTGAAGTTATTTTGGTAGTAATGTGTTTATTAGCAAGTGATGAAAATTAACGATAGACGAAGCACATAAAAGATACTAATTCTTCTTTGGGTATCTCTTGTTTTTTACTTCTAGGCTATCATCGATGTTTACATTCCTTATCACTTATCTGCCATCGACACCGTTGTTAAATTTTGTTACCGAGGTTCACTACGCAGAATATCATTCAGTGATTTTCATACACCACTCTTTAGAGCAAATATTATATATTTAAAGATCGCCACTGCTGTGGTGCAGCAAATCATTCCAATGTATCAAGAACCCTTCATTTTTATACTGAATGATTTACATCACAAAAAGTTTAGTTACGTTTCGTATGACATGCGGCATTGAGAAAGAGCAACATGAAAGCTAAACGCAATCATACAATGGATTTTTCACGGGATAATGAGCGTGAATGATTAGAATATTCAAACAAACTATGGAAAAAGACACTTTCATTTAATACAGTCGCAAAAGAATGCTGGGCATGAATCTTGTTTATATAACGTGCATAATCTATGGAACAAGATACGCCTATGTTTTCGTATTACTTGATCATTTCCATATTGTCTTTCGTGAGACTGCCATTGTTACTTCAATGAGCACGTTTTTGCAAGCATTGAAATAGGTGAGCTTGAGCCGTGGTGAATGTGAATCAAATATTTTTTCTTATGTTTCAGATTATCTCTCTTCGACATTCCGCTTTGTCACTTAGCAATTCCAAGTAAATAAGAAATGGTCTATGAATTGAATTCTTTAGTGAATTCATATTTCTCATCTCATACGGTACATGTTTTCAACGATAAGTTTCCCCTGATATTTCAACGAACGTTTCGAAATCGTCCGATTTCTCAGGCTGTTATAATTCCAATTTGATTTAATGATTGGACGACGTCATTCGAAGTGTAAAATACTTGATTGTTCGACACAGTGAATAATGCTATGCGCCTCATAGGTAACAAAATGATGTGCAAAACATTGATCCGAAATTGAGCTATTTTTCGAATAATCATCGCTATTGATTTTCAGCTGTCCATATACTTCCTGTGAATGATCTGTCAGTCATCAGTAATTTAAACAGGAAATGGATACTGATCTGAATCAATAGTGATTCATTCAGCATCTGTCTGTGACTCATAATTTTTCAAATGATTCATGGTTGTAGGTTCAGCTCATTGAACGTTACACGCCCTTCATTATAATGACATCATTTGAAGCGCTGTCAAATCAGTGTAGGAGAGAGTTTATTGTGCGTTTTTCGATGGAAGTGATGTTCCTGTGACTAATGCTCTAACCTGGAATACTTTTCAAGCTGCATTCCATATGGATTCAAACTGAGTTGAAATTATGATAAAAATTTAACTCAAATAATTGGCCGATCAGTTCGACACGAAATTCACTGCTGTTTGCGATATATAAATCTATCATTGAGTACAAAGTTTGAACAGCCCCACTCTCTTGTGGTTTGTTACTTCCTTAATGAATAGCTGGCTCATTCACTTGATGCAGAAAATTCATAGCAAGTTGACAAATCTATATTCTGTGAGCCAACTGTCAAACTGCGTGCAGAAATGACTTTCAATCTTGCATTTGTTGCGTTTTCATGAACAGTAATGCTGTTAACGATTTATGATCTGGAAATGTCTCAAGGAAAATGATATGGAAACAATTTGTACAATAGACAAGTTATTGAAAACAAAGATTACATCACACAAGCAAAAGTGCATTTAAATTTATAATAGTTGATGTAAAGGGCATGTGATTAGGGATGAACGGAAAATCTCTTTTTTTTGAATTATGTATTTGCACTCATTAATTCAGTTTTTCGTGTTCTTATGTGATCTTTTCTGAGAAAAATTTGAACAGTTATTCATAATGAATGCAAGAAAATTGAATTGAAGTGGGAGCATGATCCTTTCCAATAAGTACATCAAGAAGTGATATCAATCTGAAGTTTTGTTGCATAAACCGATAGCATTTTGATGCATTTAAAGCAGTTGAACTAAAACATGCTTGAAAAATGAAAGTTCGACTATGTTTCGAAATGACTGAAGAGGTATAACTTCATGGTACTAAAGAAACAAACTTCTGTGCAGTTCAGTCTTTACATTGAAGATCTATCGTAAAGAGTCATAGCGATGTTTGTATCATTGGATTTTGATATAATTTTAAATGTGGACGATCGTGCTTTTCTTGTTGTCTCAATGCCAATTCTGTGAATGTTGAATAAATTCAATGGCGCAGTAGGTAATCGGCACATTTGTCTTGGGTGGGATGCAGTATGTAGTGTTAGTTACGTTTTACGATCTATATGGTGCCACAGTGGTGTTGTTTGTCATTTGAAAATGTTAATATTTTTTCTAGCAACAAGCTACTTATCGGCATGGTGGGGCGCCGTCACGACGCCGCATTTCGGAATTACCAAGGAGCGCAGCAATTGCACTACACTCTCCACCGAGAAAGCAGGTGATATGTTTGTTCAATTCAAAATGGGAAGATGCTCATCCGTCGTTAGCGTTTATATTATTTTGTGCAATTCACCAAACATTATCATTTCAGCATCTGCCACTAAGCAGCTTCCAATTTATCAATGCATTCTTTTCAAAGCAACGAGTTTACTGAGATTTATAGTGATATTCGTGCCACTGTAACGGCGTTGAGAAAGGTCATCAACAAGCGCCCAGCAGATTTCTCAGAAATATTAACAGTGCAATGTTCGAGCCATTTCCAACTGGATTCAAAGCAAATCTTCTAACCGCATAAGTCCAACTTAGTAAATATCGGTTTTCAGTCGACCTACACAGAACTCTGCCCACTGTTGTGTGATACACACGGCTAGCCGTTGAAAAAAGTTTGCATACATAAGCAGTTGAATTTCTTTCACACACGCCATTATGCACACAAAACGCTTACTGTGATTTATATCAAATACGAAGATGCGTGATAAAATCGTCGAAGTTCACTTGATAATGGCATTCTTTATAAGCCGTGAACTGGTTGCATGTTGCTGACATTAACATGGCAATCATGAGATAATATCGAGACAAAAGTCAATGAATGCTTTAGAATGATATTTGAATGGATAAAATTGGGGGCATCGATATGGCTTACCTTAAGTAAGTTATGCATAGCATCGTATTTAGATCATGGTCCTCATAAATACTCCACGTGCCAACCCGAAAGATGATTACAAACTGCAATTTCAAAGGAATTTTGAAACGCTCTTCCAGAATATAAATACTTTCTTATCTTTTTATTATAATTGTTAATAAAAAATGTACTGTCGTCAATCTTACTTTCTGTGCTCATTCCTTTTGTCGATAACAAGGTCTTTATCATTCGTAGCGATGAATAATCAACATAGAAAATTGATCACTTGAATGTTTTAAAGACGTCATCTCCGCTCCCAGAAGTAAAACAGCATCGAATTTACGAGCGAGGACATATCTTCTCGAAATCTTGGAATCCAGAACGTTACATTTATTATGAGACGTCACCTGACGTCGATAGCGACGCTTCAGTACCAACACAAATCGATGGCGATGCCACTAATCCATATAAAAAATTTTATCACGTGAGTAGCGCACTGTGATGTGATCTGTTACTTATCAGTTTTACTTTATTGTTTAGAACACGACTTTTTGCTGCATTCTTGCATACTGCTCTTGATTCGTTCATTGAGAGAAATAAATTATCTCGATAAAAATTGATTCTTAATGCGAATTTTTTTGCTGATTTTTTCTTGCTAAAAGTACGCAGGATGACGTTAGATTTATAAAATAATACATTATTGCATGTAATCTTTGATTGCTCACTACCGATAAGGCATTATGACTATTGCTAAGCGTATGGTTCTCGTGATTAATATTGCCAAATCTTTGTTTTTATATTAGCAGCTTTGTTCTCGTTCTCATTCACCAGCGATCGTTTTTTGAATGCTTCGTTCTCAATATACAGGAGATGATGCGTGTATTTGGATCAGACCCACGAGTTAACGACCTAACCCAAGAAAGGGTAGCAGTAGGGATAGGCCATCGCTCGAACGTTCGTTCTTTTTGCGAGCAGGTTAAATGAGTGTCTTTTCAATCTTTCTTGCTGACTACTTCTCTCGTTGTGCCGTAATCAGTGAAGCATTTAACGCATCTTATGAATCTTGATTAATGCGTACAAGTGTATCATTTTGTTGAGTTGATGAACTGTTGAAGGATATGTCCAGTTTTGGCTAAGCTGCATCGGATATATTAATGTAATGCCAGATTCAGACCAAAAGTTTCGATGACCATCGGACTGAACAAAGGCGATCAACAACTATGAGTCCACGTTCCATGAGCGAAGCTGAACAACGCCAGTTGGTTAGGCAGCAAACAGTTTTTCATCTACAACCGCAGGTAAGGTCATTAATAATATGACAGCTGATAATAGCTGAATAATGGCGTTCGATTTTGATTGAGTTGCACGTTACTTGAACAAATATGTGTTCGGAAAGAGAGAGAAAAACAAAACGAGCAAATTCGAAATTTGTAGAACGAAATCAGCAAAGAATGTATAAATTTGTGGGCCGATCGAAACATGTTCGAATTGAACTCAAATTTGATGAATCATATTTCGACCGATCTTTCCACCGATCAATCAGCATCCACATCATTCGAATCCAACACCGAACCGACAGTAAGTGGCATCAACCAGCGCCGTCATTCGAGCTTTCTCGAATTGCCACCTTCAGCCGATACACGTAGGCAAAAATACAAGTTTGTTAATCTTTTATAATATCGTTTTTTATATCCGCGTCATCCACTTATTAGAAAATGTTCCCCAGCGGAGGAATGGCAATTCTATAAGAATGCTAAAGAGACAGTAACTTTTGAAGACATCTATCATTTTCATTTCATTTCTTGAAATCTCATGTATCATTACTATTCAGAAATTTATGAGCAGTTCATTCGTTCTATGATGGAACCGAGAAGTTTTCCGAATTTCTATTATGAACAAAAATTTATGCACAATGTAATATTATTGCATTCGAAAATGGTTGATCAAAGCCATATGATTTGTAATTTGGGCTTAAACAAACGATTCCAAGAGATCAAATGTTGTCACAGAAAAGGTGCTAAGCATTAGTTCACTGCAATACCGAAAAGTGTGCGTTGATCGTTGAAAATCAACGATTGATTCAGGAGTCTTCTTTTGTATCGTCAGCACTTATCGAATGCAATAAATCGTCAAGCAAGTTCGTTTGAGAGTGCATTATCGAGTGAATCAAGTGCTGCAGATTCATTCACAGTGAACGGTGTTTGTACGACTTCGTTTGATTCAACTCGTTCTGAACAAACGGGTATTGTCCAGTTTTGCATCTAATCAAAAACTGCAGCGTCTCAGCTTCAATCTGTTCACTATTCAGCTTACGTTTGTTCAGTATCAGTTGGAACCGTACAGCAGTGTATGCGAAAATTTAATGCTTGCGAACACTGTTGTGAGTAATCTTCTAGTTAGTTACCTTAACTGAAGAATGCAGTTTTCTCAATCAATAAGATATATTTGTTATGTCTTATTAGTGTCCAAGAAATCCTCAGTAACGTTCAATCAGTTGCGTCATTTATTTGATGTAAGATTCTCGTCAAGCACGGCAAATCCTTGACTAATACACCTGAATATGACAAATTCAGTTGTATTAGTTCGCTTCAGTCCGTAATGTAAAGAACTGATCAGTTATCATGAATACTTGCTAATCAAATGACTTGCATTTTCAACGGTATTCTGTGAATAATTCTCAACAATACAATAGGTTATTATTTCTTTAAATTTTCGCTTCAGTTTCATCTTTTCTCGGTTTCGATTTCCAAATCAGCGCTTTTTTTCAGATCAAGATAAATCACCTGAAATGAAATTCAATCGGCAGTTGAGGTATTCAATTCGGTTTGCCAGTTTTGTTTGGTTATCCATAAATGCTGAAAAAAAAAGTTTCAAGCAGTAAATAAGGGCCTGTCATTGAAAGCATCTCAGTTGACATAGTCAAAGATTCAGTGTGCACAAGATCCATAAAATCTGATATTTTCAAACTGTTTAAATCGATAGAAAATGGAACTATTTTTCCAGTGATTGTCGCGAGGATCGAACTTCACTGCATCTAGCTGGTCGTAATTATTTGAGTCGTGTGAAAGCAGGTGACTACGTGCCATTGGCTCGTCGCGCGATCGATCCAAAAATAACGATGAATCTTCAACGGGACTATAGTGTGGACTCAAAAACAGATCGTTTATTCAAAGAATTTGTCAAAATTGATCCCAAATTTGAGATTAATTCAGAAAGACATAATAATAAAATAACAAATACGACTCACTCATTATCGAAGAAAAATGCTTTCAGTCGCTATCGCACCAATGATTTAAGTGATGCCTCGAAACGCGTCAGTGTTCCATTGATTTGTTTCCCTGATTGAAATAGCGTCGATCGAACGTGACTTGACGTCATTCAGTGCAATTGAATTAATTAATCTCAGCGGCGATCTTGTTCAGCATAAATGTTTTAAATTTCTTATTTCATTTCAAATTTCTCATGTGTTACAACGCATGATGCAGTAAAGAGGATATTGTTAAGATGCTTCTGGATATCAAGATGAAATATTCCAAGATTTCATGAAAGGTTGTATTTAAGTGATAAGAAGCAAAGCATCATTATTACTTCCGTTCATTCAATTGTTTTGTTTGCTCTTGTATCAAAAACTTCTTTAATTTTTTCTGCACCCAAGTTCAAATTTAAATGAATTGAATTTATTTTCCTTCACTCACGCGACAGCGATTCCGAGTGATCTCATGGTTGATCTCGTATTGGTTTGTGTACATTTTTCAATGCTGTTATCATGCACTCTTCTATGAGATGCAACATTACTTTGTTGAGTGTGTGTATGTACTAATTTGTCATTTTTACGTTTTTAGTCAATCATATCACTTGAAACATTATCGACAGTTGCTTATTGAAAATGACTGTACCAGTTCTCGAGCCCCCTGAAATATTTCTGAAAATATTGTTAACATTCTATTCTCATACGGTTTCTAATTGTTTTGAAAAGGTTTTGTTGTTCAGGTTATTACTAATAGACTCATGCGTTCCATGAGTAGTGCGTACATCTTTCAGAACCATCTCAGACTAACACTTCAAAATTGGTTTTGATTTTATGCATATTAGTTAGTGATGTTTCTATTCTGATCAAACTGGAACTATTCTGTTGTTTTTTTTTTCGGAGAGGGGGGGGGGAGAGGTGGAGAGACTGTTCTATTTCAAGCAATTGAACAGAAGAGTTCCAAAAAGAAACGCGAAGAACGGAACGGAACAGAACAACTGAAGGACACAATAGAACATTTTGTAGTTTCGAACAGAAACATCACTAATATTAATGCGTCATATACGTAGTCATTTCGTGTATCTGATCGTCGGTTGCACTGCTATCATAATGCGAGATTACAGTATCAAGTTTCATTGTTCATTCACTCATATGGAATAAAATATTATTGGATAATTGCTACTAACAGCTTTTATAGTAAAATTGAGTCAGCGTGAGGTGGAATGCGCAGTGGAAACTTGACGTAATATTTATTCTTCACTTTCCAATAATAATTCGATAAAAATAGTAATTGGCCAACTAGGCGTGCACACTGTCTTCACACAATCTTAAGTTCACAATGATTGACAGTAATGTTGAATTATAACACTTCGCAATAATAATGATGGTGATTATCACAATGACGATTGATTTTTTCTTTGATATATGACGTCACGCATTGACGAGATAGCGCATACCTTTACGAATATGAACTGCGAATTGCGACCGACCTCGATCTTCCGTTCCTTTCTCCTTAAGTAATTGCATCTCCCATCCGTCCTGGAATTCATCGACTGTAGTTTCCCATAACATTTTGTTGTCATTTAGCCATCGCTCTTGGGAATCCTCTGCCTGTAAGATTTGAATTAAAGGTATTAAGTACTTTGTTTGGGTTATATTTCAAATTCTTGGGATTTAGATTTTATGTTTTGAGAATGAGGTGCTTGACTTGCTTACAGCATATAATCTTACAAGTTGATTACAGATTTCAAATGGATTCAATATGGGGTGAGGTGAAGCCTTATCAGCTCATTCAACACTGACGTAACGTTTATGATTGATTTTAGGTGCTCTTATCTGTCTGCATTTTCGAGAAAAATACTCTGGTAAAGCAGTGGCTCTCATTGGGGTGAGACTATTTTGGGTAATTTAGTGGTGTCAATGGGTAATGGAGGAGGTCGGAAAATTAGTATTTCGTGCAGTTGTTATGTTATGATAAAACGCCATTGTAATGGTGTTTTTTAACCCTGGTATGTAAATGCGGTTAGTTGATAGCAACAATCCTCATTCTCCTATTTTCTGAGTATTATTAGCTCGTCCACGCCTAAGAGGGTTCTCATTCGTTTCAACAGGATTTTCATTCTTTTCCTTGCTGATACAATCACTCTCATAGCTTTTGTCACCAAAAGTTTTCTCTTTTGCTAATGTCTCATTCACTTCACTCAACAATTAAAGTCAAATTTTCATTCTACCAAATACCCTCAATAATTGACCATTTAGCTGTCGAACGTTGTTGAGCAATAACACTCGATTGCTGTATTGTTGATTTCGGCTATCAACACTCGTCAACGTATCCAGTAAATAGTATATGCTGCAGAATAAGAAAATGATTCGAACTGTGAAGTGAAATGAGACAAAGTGAATAAGAAAAACTCATTAAGAGAACGATATTCGCATGTAATAGCTATGAGAGTGAATGCAATACATCTAAGAAGAATGAAAATCCCCGTAAATCAGTTTGAAGTGAGCGTGTCATAGACGATAGATTTTCATGCAAGCATAATCGGTTACAATAATGAGCAACACAATGGTCTGGGACAGCGGTTTTCTTAGAGAGTGAAATTACCCGCTTTGGGTAATTCCGGGGTGGATAATGGAGGGGGTCGGGGAATTAGTATTTCCTGTAGCTGTTAGTTATGATAGGACGTCATTGTGATGGTATATTTTTCACTCGGATATCTAAACGCGGCTCGCTTATGGAAGCACTCTTCTTCATCACATTTTCTGACAATGAGTATCTCTAGCTCGCCTAGGCCTGAACAAAAGTCAGTCTGAAGTAGTCACAATTGTTTCGTAAGTTCTTCACTATGTCGGCTAACATCGTCTATCATGAGCAATAAGAATTGATTGAATTCTTTGGTACACCAGAAAAGATCATTGGTCTGGTGTGAGGCGATCGAGTTTTTCTGAATTTAATGGTACCGATTTCTGTTTTCAGTTTTCACGACCTCTAATTTTTCAATTGCTAATGAATGTTTTTCCCGCCGGCATAATACTTCTTCCGTGATGAACGACAACATTTATTATAATGTTAATGACTGAAGTTCTTGAAAAGTGGAGTGGGAATTTCGCACTTTATGTACTTGTGTCATCTCAAGATCCTCGATAGTTCGGATTTATTTTCATCCATCCGATGAATTTTTACTTACTCATTAATCATCACTCTGATAGAATGATTGATTTTCCGTTCATCTCGAAGATAATTTCTCAAATGTTTATTGCATCTTCCTTCTTCATGAATAATTGAACTCCTTGTTAAATTTCATTTTTTATCGCTGTAGAAAGTTTTTTAAATCGTTTTTCGTTTATGATTGCCGAGGTTCTTACGGTTTCTGTAATGGATAAATAGGGTTCTAAAAATACTTCACTGAGAAATTTCTGGACCAGTTTTCCATTTGTTCCTGACGTTGTACGTAGAAATAGTAAGTTCTTGTATAGTCATAAAAAGCAAATGATTCGCGGGAATAGTTAATTCTTGTAATGGAGAGAGGGAGGTAATGATAGTCTGTCCGATCATCCAAANGTGCAGTGGAGCTCCCGAGCAAGAGAACCACTGTTCCAGAGACTGCTCGTCAATACGATCGTCCACTTCCACGGAGATTCGTGATTCACAACGGAGACTCTCTCTCAAAGCTCTTTCTCATGAATTTTTGCCCTCATTTCCACTATAAAATACCGCTACAAACTGAACACTATGATTCCCATGTCACTCTACTACGAACTAACTGTTCGTTCAGCTCACGTTCTTTTTCCCGATCATTTTCATTAGAGTCCAATTAATTTTCGTCGTGTGATTAATTACGTACATTAAGTACTTAATTACATTTGTGCAGATGGTACTTAATTTGCGTGAAATTTATGAATTTAGTATATTCATGATGTAAAAGTGAACTCCTTCCCTAAGCTGCTGCTCTTCTGCGTTTGCGTCTTTCAGTTTGCTGCGCTCCTCCTCCCTGATGGTGGGCAAGGTACAAGCAGGACCTTCAATGTTGGTATACTTTTTAATTTGATTTAGATGTACTTTAAAAGGGTTAGCATGTGGTGTGGAACAGTTGACAATGTGGGGTGGTGATAGCAATTATCCTATAAACCCCAGTCCATGGCAGGTGGAATTTCTTAGAATCTCCTGATTTCGGTATATCATGTCGTAGCAAAACACAGTCCCCAACTATAAGTGGTGTATCCCGAGCATTCTTATCGCACGTCGTCTTCATTTTATCCTGTGTCTTCTGATTATATTCGTAGGCCAATGGATTCATTCTTTAAAGTGCCACAAACTTGGCACCAATCGAGCTGGAATGAGGCACTGTATGCAATAAAATACGAATCACCTCAATAGCTGCAACCATTCTCGTGTTCTGACCGCAAAATGTGACATCACTCTATTTCTAAGTATCATCATAGCGGTTTCTTCCGAGGGAAGCCAAAAAAAAACAATACCAACGTTGAGTTCGACTGTTCTTTTGGAGGATTTCTCTGACCTAACTTCCTCATACAGTCATAATTTTATGCTCTGCATCGTCCACTCGTCAAGCCGAACCGATTGGCACCAACCTTATCAAAATATGAGCAAAAAATCATCTCGCTAGGCTGCTGGGTGGGGTGACCCGAGGTTTCGAAGATTCCCACTAGAGCGGAGGACAAAGAGACTTTCAACCTGAGCAATCTACCGTTACAGTTGCTACTGTCCTTGTGTGGTTACATTCACGAGGTTCCTTACTCAGTTTTTAGCTGATCGAAGGAAAGAGAATCATGCACGTGCATTTAGAAACACTGACTGAAAACTGTTGAAGATTTCGACACGAAGCCTAACTCATGACTGCCGGAGGGAAACGCAGACTGTCTTTTTCGACGTTACATGCTCTCCACAGAAGAAGAAAATTGAACATGAGTCAGAGACAGCAAACCCTTCTTTGCATATTACTGATTTTCAAACAGCGATGCTCACTCTATCATGCTAATCTCATCATAGGAATTTACGCTATCATGCATTACACGTGATGCCACAAATGCTCTACTGTGACGCTTTGCCATCCCTATTCTGTGTCAAAAGATACGCTAAATGCCTTTCATAAACTCTGCCTCCTTCCCAGAGAATCTATTACCTTATTCCAGAATTCTTTTGTCATATCGCCATGTTCATCGAAAGAAGCTGATTTATTCCTCGACAGCTGTCTCACTACGCTTAAGGTTTTTCCCATCAAAATTTGTACCACTAGTTCTAGAACCTATACTGCACTTGAATTCATTCAAACCTATCGGCACGGGACTACA